GAAAATTCTTGCTAGATGCCAGTTTTGTCTTTTAACATTATAAACTAATTCGATGGTAGTGGAACTGGCTAACAAGTAACCATGGTTCTACAATAAAAGTAGCACGACTGAGACAGCCAAGATGAGAAACACGTCGTGCAAGACCACAGGTGTCGTCCCAGCAATCTGATCAAAATCACCTTGGGAAAAAAGGCGAATGGTTAAAAAGGAACAATAAAGAATTAAATGAAAAGAAAAGATAACAAATAATGCATGAGACAAATGATATTCCTCTGTCTCTAGGCAGTTTTATGGCGAGCCATTGCAGCCTGAGACTTAGAGTGGGACAGTGAGATTTTGTAGATAATCGCTTGCGAGAATGATTATAACTTGCTTGCCAATAAAAAGGAAACTATTTAGCGAGTTATTAAAAACCCGCCAGCTATAAAATAGGAAGCTGACAGTTGCTCAGAAAACTAGGGACTGTTGTAGAAGACTTTATGATCAAACCGATACTGCATCTAGTGAACCACATATATTCCGAAATCAGCCTTACATCAAATTTGGTTTTGTTTAGAAACTGTAAAATTTATAAGCTCTTGGTTTTGTTTAAGATCCAATTAGGACAGTTCTTCACAGATGTACACGGTCTCAACTTCTGTTCGAGATGGCGAGATTTTGTACGTCTGTTGGATCCCATTTACGATCGATAGCATTCGACATCGTTGGATTAAGTCACAAACGCAGCTCTTTTGCCCTAAATGGGAAACCCCGAAAGTGCAGGAGCAGAACCGGGAGTGCTGCACCCAAAGCTGCAGCAGTAATCCACATAACGATTTAAAATGGTGGATGATAACACGAAGAAAGGGTCCGCACTAGATTAGGTGAGCGGTGCGCTTGGTCGTCGGAGCAATCATCATGGACGATAAATAAAGTTTTCATTTAAGGGGTTTTTTACCTGTTCTTTGACACAGGAACTCGTGAACTCTTCTGATGAAAGATACCATGATGAATAATTAAGTTCTTCGAAAACCATTAAACTTTGCATTTATAGGGACTTTCAATTCGGACAAAGAGAGCAAGTGAAGAGGAAAGAGGAAGGTTGAACGGCATGATCATTGTCTCTTGACATTTCTCGGCTCCGAAGACGTAAAATGAGTAAGCTCTCAGAACCAAGACAGAGGGCACAGTTTTACCCAATACGGACCGACCTAAGCTGGTGAATAACATTTTCATTTTTTTCTAAAACTTTACGAAATTCCTGCCAAAATAACCCGAATTATTTAGGGCTGTATAATTACGGCAAGATCCTCCTTAAACTGAACAATCTTTGAGCGAGTAAAGAGTAGTTAAAACAGAGGTAGTATGAATTAAAGGTGATTTAAAAGGCTTCTAAACAAACTTTGAAACATTGTTTTCACAAGTTTCTGTGACAATTGACACCTGTCAATTTTTAGAGCTCGCAAGAAAAAAAAAAGCTCATGTACACTTCTGAAAAAAAATACCAACGGTACTGGTTTGGTAAACGAACTCAAGTTCAATAACTGTCACGACAATGTTTTCTTAAAACCATTAAATGATCTCACAGAGAGTATTATTCACTTCCATCGATGCTTAGTGTACAAAGAATACCTCTGTAAATTGCAAGGAAAGTAATTGTGAGTAAATTCAAATGTATGCTTTGAAGTTGTGTGAGTTTGCTCGTTTGTTTGTTGCAGTGGGGCGTCTAAATCTGGTCTTTTTCACCCAGGTAACTAAAGTCAAATGAGACACTTTAGCTAGACCCAAGGGAAATTTAATGCAGCTTTTTCTCGTTGAATTCATTTGGTTTATATCGTTCAATTTTCGGTACAAATGGCAAAATTGAACGGGTTGACTTGCAAAGACGTACCGAAAGCGTATTTAAAGTAGGATGCGAATGCATCACATCGCTTTGGTCTGAAGAAATTTTCATTTCCAGCTGTTGTCAACACAGCCAGTAGTTATCGGCAATTGAAAAAATAAGCCGCTAAGATCTTGAGAGTGCAGGTGTTTAAAAGAGCCTGCCATTTTGAGGAAAGATCCGATGAAATTGTGAGGGAACATCATCTGAGCGTCTGAGGCCATTCTTTCATTCATATATCTCCGCCAATTAATTATTTTTCCAGTCATTCCTAGCCCACGTATTTTTTCGTGAAGATTGAAGATTGAAGTGATGAGAAGCTCTGCTGCACTTTCTCGCTGCCGCTATACATAAAACTTCTCACTGTGATTAGGGAAAATAAATGGCGCTTGTCAACGAAGACATTTATAATCATCAGTTATAAGTCTCTTTGATCTAAGGAATGAAGGGTTAAGAATGCAGGGAAAAACCAAACTGCGAAAGCAAATTTCTTTGCGTCTTAGCTTGTGCTTTTTAAGTTGGATCACGAGTCCCTTTATTCCTTCCTCCATTAACTCGGTTTTTCCTTCATTTGTTCGTGCGTTTCGAAAGCCATTTTCTGTTTAGTTCGTCGAGTCGTTCACGCGTCGGTTTGTCCGTTCATTCCTTTGTTTACTTATTTTAGTTCACCCATTTTTCATAGTTTGACCACTCGACTGGTTCACTTTTCATTTTACTGACGGTAGCTAATTTGGAAAGCGTCTCTAAGCTCCTTTGATTTCGACGGGCTATTTTTGTGATCTATATTTTCGTCATCTACTTGAGCGGCAAGTCTACCTGACGCAGATTTATCGAGGAAGATAAACTCTTTTGTCATTTACTGCCTACAGCCTTCAATATTATATTCTCTCCTATGTTTACCCCTCCCCCCCATATGTTTGCGCATTGCAAAGAACAAATAATACCTTACCCAATTAGTTGTAATGATGATAAATGATGTAACACAAAGAGAGCTATTTTTTACTCTGAAAGTATAATAAACACGAAAGTATCCTACGAAATTGTATCTATGAATTTTAACTACAACTTTGGTATAGTTAAGAGGTTCCCACTCTAAATATTCTTCATCTTTGTAATAGGTGTTTCGAGCAGGAGGTAGGTGCGTGTTTAGCAGCAAGGCTCTCACTAAGAGTCTCTCTTTCCCTTTCATTCTTAGTTAAAGATAAAAAAGGAAACAATTTTTAGTGTTTGAAGGCTTTGTTGATATTCTCTAAAAGCAACATGCCTTCTAGGCTTAGATTCAGCCGATTTCAATGGGAAAACTTGTTCAGTACCGTCTCTTACAAAATTTAACTGGATATAACTTAACGTTTGACGTCGTTGCTATAAACTAATTCAATGGTAGTGGAACTGGCTAACAATTAACTATGATTCTACCATAAAAGTAGCACGGCTGAAAAAGCCAAGATGAGAAACACGTCATGCAAGACCACAGGTGTCTTCCCAGCAATCTGATCAAAATCACCTTGGGAAAAAAAAGCAAATGGTTAAAATGGAAGAATAAAAAATCAAATTAAAAGAAAGGATAACAAACTATTCATGTGACAAACTATATTCCTCTCTCTCTTAGCAGTTTTATGGCGAGCCGTTACAGCCTGAGAATGAGAGTGAGACAGAGTAAGACTTAATAGAAAATCACTGGCGAGATTGATTTTCGCTTGCTTGCCAAAAAAAGGAAACTATTTAGCGAGAAAAAAGAAACCCGCTGGTGAGAAATTAAAAACTCGCCAGCGAGGAAATAGGAAGCTGACAGTAGCTCAGAAAACTAAGGACTGTTGTAGAAGGCTTTATGATAAAACCGATGCTGCTTCTGGTAAACCGCATATATTCAGAAATCAGCCTTATATCAAATTCGGTTTTGCTTAGAAATTATAAAATCTATAATCTCTCGGTTTTGTTTAAGACCCAGTTAGGACAGTTCTTCACAAATGTACAAGGTCTCAACTTCTATTCGTGGGCTGCGTTAGTGACTTCTTTAAGTCACAAACGCAGCTCTTTTGCCCAAGATGGGAAACCCTTTTTTTCAACTGTTATACTATACTTTTTCAGCTGTTGTGCTCGATTTTGTTTTTCTTTCTGTTTTTGTTTTCACCGAATTTAACTCTGCATACAGCCTTAACGTCGAAGTAGTCAAAGAAACCGAAGGACTGGATTATATCAAGAAGTACCTTTAACGCTCATGATAAACCTATATTCAAGCATTAAAATTCTCAATTTATACAACATACACCTATTTTAAATAGGGAAGATTATCTTTTCGTTCAAGATAGGCCGTCTTCCTGATGTTACGAAATATTATTTTCGTTGTCGAGTCGCATTCATTTCTATTACACCAGACAACGCAATTCATTTTACATACTCCTTTGCAGAACAAATAAGAGACAGTTTGAGTTGTGTTCCTAAGGTACTAAATTTTTCAATATAGAAATCCAAAATGTTGGACCCCTTCCCTGTTAAGTTTAAATTGCGAACATTTCTCCCAAGTTGTCTCCCTTCTTTTTTTTTTTCCTACTTTTCTCGAGCTTCTTGAGTATGTGTTTGTTTCAGTGCCTGCTATTGTTGTTGTTGTTTTCTGTGTCTGTGTGTATTCTTTCCTTTTTAACCTAAAATATTTTGTATCTGAATTACGCCATGTAATTGACATCTCACTTTATGAAATAACAGGACCTTCTAGCACGCTTATGCCAATACGAAGTTTCTGTGCGAGTTTCCTCGCCACATGTTAAATTTTCAGTTATATTATATTCATGTATACGGAATTCCTTTTATCCATACTGCTGTATTACAGTTACAAAATGGCAAAATAAGCAAATAAACAACAAACAAATAAACCGGTCATCAGTTGTTGCTTGTGAGGGGAGGACTTCTGGAAGTGATCACATGGTTTTCAGGGGGTACAGAGGGAAGATCAGTCTTCGCTAACAGAGTATAAAGAGGGAGACTGTTAAAAATTGTCAGCCAATGAGGAGGGATCATTACAATACTACGGAGTCTTGAGGGAGGAAAATTTTTTAATTGCTACACAACCAAAATTCTCTGACCTTCCCCACCCCCCTCCCCGGGCAATAAATAATGACTTCCCCCTACCTCCGGCTTCAAGGAGGTCAAAGCGCTGACACTGATCTTCAGTGATGTTGTTAAAGCAGCCTGTTTGCAGACAGCAGTAATAAACTCCAAAGTGAACTTTGCTCATGCCCGTGATGGTCAAGTAATAGGGATCGTAAGGTCCGTTATGAGTGACATTGTAATGCTCGTTCGTCGAAGAATCTAAAATATAACATTAAATAGAGTTGTGAAGCTGATTAACCATGCAACATTTGGTTGACGGCCAATGGTTGGTAAGGAACTGACAAATCGACTGACTCGCCGGCCGAATTATTAGTAAGATGGTTGATCTTACTGAATCACAACAACCAACAATCAACAAACAAACTGACCAACAAACTTATTGTCTTAGAAATGATCAATGATTTGACTGACTGAGTAACCGAGGGACTGGAAGACAGACAGAATGAATGATTGACCGACTGACTGACTTATTGACTGAATAACTGACTGACTGACTAAATGATTAACTGACTGACAAACTGACTTACTGACTGACTGACTAAATGACTTACTGATCGACCGATTGACTGACTGACTGACAGACTGAACGACTGACTGACTCACTGATTGATTGATTGATTGATTGATTGATTAACTAAGTGACGTACATAATGTAAAACTGACGGAATTGAACGCTTAACTAAAAGCAATCATGTCCAGCTCAAACTTACTTATGCAAGATGTAACTGTTTCGTCGCGCTTATTCTTTAATTTCCATTCCACCTTCAGAGGATATCCTCTGGCACTGCACTCCAAAGTTACTTTGTCTCCCGGCTTTGCCTTGACTATTTTTTTATCTTTATCTTTAAACAATGGTTCAACTAGAATAAAAGTAAATGGTGATAATAATGATGTTATGACGACGACGACGATGATGATAATTTTGATGATGATAATGATGACGATGATGAGAATAAGACGCATGTTTCTCCCAAAAATTTCAAAAAACATCTTTGGGTTTCCATTGACTGATTTGAAAAAATTATTACCTTTTTTGAACCGTCTTTCACCCTTACGCAGAGGGATCAAAATGTGTCAATAGATAAGTATTCGGAAGTTCCTAACGGACTTGTATTCAACAAATGTACCAATAAAATTGAAAACCAGTGAAAAACGAGATTGTCTGACGGTCAGCCCGATTGGGATCAAAATGATGTTTCCATCTATTCAAAGAACTGACCATACATGAGTATTGACAAGCTACCAATACTTATAAGATACGTTTATGCGCTTTATACTTACTGTGAATTACAATGTAATCTGAGACCTTGTAGCTCTTGATGTGTCGTAAATTTACTTCCAACAGACAGGTATAGTTTCCGCCATCTCTGACTCCAACATCTTCAAACTTAAGTGGAGCGATAAGAACCTTTTCAATTTCTGGATCTGGATTTTGTAAACTCATCAACAATTTTCCATCTTTATACCAAGATATCCTCTTCAGTGGAGTGCTGTTCTTGTTTCCTCTTTTAGTTAAGCTGCAGCTGAGTGTTAACTTATCGACGAAATTGGTATGTGGGACCACAACAAGTTTAGGGATTTCGTCTCCTAATATAAAAGAAAATAGGCAACTTAAATAATTGAAAAAAAAAAATTGTAGACAAAGTTATTCACAATGCTCGGTCATAATAGTGATGAATGCATGGAATTCAACCTACGGTCAAAATATGGTTAAGTTGAATTGCTGTCTCGTACCCAGACCTTCCATTTCAGTTATTGTTCATTTCAATAGTTACACGGTAGGACCCGGATAGGAGATTAGTTGAATTATTACCAAAATCTAGTAAATTTTTTTAAGATAAGTTAACACATGTGTCTACATGCACTTTGCAAGTAGAATGGATAGGCAAAGATCAATAACCTTGTCGAGTCTGTAAAACTGCACTTTATAGATGAAAAAGCTTACTTGTTATAACGCTGATACTAAAACCGTGTCTCTTCGGGGTTGATTCATTCTTGGCAAAAGCATGGCACTCGTAACTTCCAATGTTTCCATACTGACTGTCATCTTCAATTGTTACATTCGTGATTGTCATGGTGTTGAAAAGTTTAGGGTTTCCATCTAAAAGGAAAGTGTTTGAGCTGTTAACGTTATCTGAAAAAAAATCTGTCTTTGCATGACGAATCCGCAATAACTCCTTCTTATGCTTTTCATATCCACCAGTAAAAAAGCGGGCCAGGAAAATGTTGTGTCGTCAGGTACTGCAATAACATAAATAAATAACGGGGAAAGTTTTCATAAGTTTTCAAAGGACAAAAATTACGCCAAAGTAATTAGTGGAGAGAAGGATAAATGTATTTTAAACCAGAAAGAAGAAGATAAAAGGGAGGAACTCAACGAAAACATGTGTGTACTCGCCTAAATATTCCGTTCGGTGTGAAAACGATAATTTTTCGCTCGGTTTCAACTCCGTATAGATATTTAAATCATCTCTCCTGAAAAACAAGATTTCCTCGGGTTCTCTTACTCCAGATGCATCAAAGGCAATGCAAGTAACACTGGCTGTAGTGTACTCCAAAGGGAAGATATTTTCAGGAAAAGGTTGCACAATGCCAAAAGTACCCTCGCCTGAAAAGAAAAGGAAGAATGAGTATTTAGGGAGATGCTTGCACATTTGGAGCCAAACCTGTGGGTCTTCACAGAATTATAGTAGCATCCCAAAATGCTCGACTAAGGTTAGAGGTATTTTAGGAAGAAACAAGATTTTCGCTGTTTGCGCCTACAGAACATAGATAGGGCGATAATTGATTGAGAGATGAAAAAAAGAATCTTTTATTTTGTAATTCCATTTTTAAAGATGTTGAACTCACCGAAAAAGATTTTCATTTCGTGCCCATTTGGCGCCTTTTGTTGCCATTGCGTACCATACTATAAACATTAATATGCCTTTGAAAGTTCTCTTCTCGTTGGACATCAACCAATCTTTCTCTTTCACCATTTTATTTTTCGAGCACTCAACAGTAAACGAAACGATTAAGGACGAGGTCTGTGCATCCTAAGTGATGTTCATTTCATGGCAATACTTACTTTCCTGCAAAGATATTTCCATTAACTAAGCTTGGGTAAGGCTTTTATGTGTCTGAAGATTTAACAAAACTAGCGGGGATGCAACAAAACACTGAAGCGACTGTAGAATTCCTCAAAGCCATTGCCGGTTTTGGCCTTTTCATTCTAGGAATCTCAGCAATTTCAAACACAGGGAATTTACATTTATAGGTCGCTAATCTCTTTTTGACATCAAGGTGATAATTTCGCTGAAGCTTTTAGGAGTTTCAACATTTTTCGAGTAAGAGGAATCGGAGAGCTTAGGGAAGCAATCGGTTAAGAAATTATATTTATTTGCAATGAGCCTAGCTAGCGAAAATATGTCATTGCGAGCGAAGCTGACGTGATGTCTGTACCATTTGGCACTGTTTCAGGATAATAACGAATTAAGACGCTCGACTGCAAACACTTGTCATACTCCTAAATACGTCCCACACACAGTTATTTCTTCGACTGGCTAGACTACATATAAACAATTATCTTCTCTCACAAGAAGTTTGGTCCATTCGTATCTAGACGTATCAGAAGTTCTGTTTGCCCATATTTTATCTGTGTTACATATCCCATTACGAGAACCTTTGTTCTGGTCATTCAGTGGGTTGTAATCGCCACTGAGAATTACAAATATCAACTTATACATACCAAAAAAGTCCTAAAGTTATTTTAATATAGTTATCAAATAGTTGGGTCCTTTCAAGATACAGAAGAATCGATTGCATGCTTGTTTGTTATTAAGGACCACGGGAAAGAGAGTCTAAAGCCTCTTCCACATGGAAAACAAACAGTTACACTGAGGCAACATTATAAGCCAATCTAGGATCCTCTAAAGACTTTTTTTTACAAATCCGCAAATCCTCTAAATCTGTTTAGTTTGTGTTACTTTTAAATCCGCAGACCCCTTTAAATTTTCACTCGTCTATCTGAAGAAGAACAAGGTAATTTAATATTATCATCTGAGTTGTTAACGCAAATTGGCGACGGTAAAGAGTTTAAAAGGTGACATTTCGAGCGTTATGTTAGTCCTTTGTCAGAATAATCGCTCTGACGAAGGCTAACGCTCGAAACGTCAGCTTCAAACTCTTTACGGTGGCCAATTTACGCTATAACCTCAGTTGATAATACTAAATTACCCTGTTATACTCTCCCACCGACGCAACACCACAGTTTCTCAGGAAACTTACCCCCTTTTCTATTTGAAGAAGAACTCTAAGATTGCTGCGGTTTCGTTTCTTACCAATATTTAGAGCTCAAATGAAAGATGTCGGCTTGTACCACTTCAACAGTCCATATCATTGGTTATTCCAAACACCAAATTGACCAAATACTTTTAAATCAATGATTCTAGCGTATTTTACCCCGGGCGACTTAGTTCATGGTTTATTCAGGAGCCCGAATGACCCCCTGAATTTCCTCTTGTCGCTGATTTTAAATCAGAAAGTTCGTTATCTAAGCAAGTGATTTGCGTTTAGTTATTTGCGTAAATTTCCATCCTTTTTTTGAAAGCAATCTAGAGTCAAACTTCAACTGTTTTGTGAGTAAAAAAAATGGAGAGGTATGCAATACACAACTGAAGTGCATTGAACTGATTTCCATCCATGCTGACTTAAAATTGCATTAACCAACTCATAATTATCACAATTAGCCGTACCTTTAGCCATTACTGCTGCACAAATAGTGCCGAGAAAGAGAAGAAAAACTTTCGTTAGAAAGGCCATCATGATATTGATTCCCCACTGCATCTCGCTTGTCTTCTCGCTATGATAATGACACGTCTGGCGATCTTCTCGTTCATCAAATGATACTGATATTCCTGCTATGACATCATTTATAGTCTGTCTAAACTTAGTGGGCAGGAGCGGTATGGAAAGTGGACATTAATCCTTTTTTCCCCTTTTTATCTTTGTTTTTCTTCCTTTCTTGGTAAACTAGATGATCACTAACAAAGCATGCAGTTGCTTTTTTTATGATGCCAATTAAAGGCAGGCCACAATCCACTCAGACACATAAACACATAACCATGGTATCACTTGGGTTTTTCAGACATTCCAACAACAACCATACTGTTGCTATTCGACGCTTATAGTTGTGTCAACGAGAGAGAGAGACAGTTTCGATGCTAAAGCGAAAGAACTTCGCAAAAAAGTTTCCCCGAGGAAGGAGTTACTTACACACTTTTTTTTAAAATCAAAATTTAAACACGTTTAGATATTTTGGTTATCAGATTTCATAGACCCCTTGATGTTGCAATTGTTCCACGTAAGTGCATTTTAGAAATGTTATAGTAATTTCACAAGTTCTTTATAGCTTTTTAGCTTCAATACTCATAAACTCGCTGAAAACCACTTCAGTTAGTTGAAACTTCCGAGCTGTTAATTTATTTATTTTTCCTTTTGATTTATTCATATCGAAAAAGATGATGTGAAGGAAATGCTGTGAAGTAAAAGGGAACCATGTTAAAAATTTGGTTGTTAACTGGACTTGACATCTGCAGCGGCTTGCTTTATATTTCCAAACTTTTGAAAAGGTAACTTTCACTGTTCCCGCTTGCACCCAAGGCTACGAAAACTTGAAGAATTATAGTTCATAGTGTGCTTATCTATTACAGGCACGACTCTGATCAGAATGGAAACCTAAGGGATCTCACCACAAATGTCTCAGGAGGAGAATTCTGGTCTTTTTCTTTCTAGTCAGACAATACATTTATTCTTCTCTCCACTAATTACTATGGCGTAATTTTCCGTCTCTAGAAAACTTATGAAAACTTTCCCCGTTATTTATTTATGTTATTGCAGTACCTGACGACACAACATTTTCCTGGCCCGCTTTTTTACTGGTGGATACGAAAAGCATAAGAAGGAGTTATTGCGGATTCGTCATGCAAAGACAGATTTTTTTTTTCAGATAACATTAACAGCTCAAACACTTTCCTTTTAGATGGAAACCCTAAACTTTTTAACACCATGACAATCACGAATTTAACAATTGAAGATGATAGTCGGTATGGAAACATTGGAAGTTACGAGTGCCATGAATTACGTTTTTTAATAAGTACGAAAAAAAAAATGCTTTAAAGACTGACAAGATTTTAACATCTGGACAAAGGGCGTAAATGAAAAAGAAGGTGGAAGGTTGAACAGAGTGACCATTGTCTCGTGACCTGTCTTAGGTCCGATGACGCAAAGGCGAGTACTCTCGACATGATAACATTCACTCGTTTGTCCGTCTGAGCGTCAGGGCTCAGGCTCCGAAAACGTAAAACGAGTAAGCTCGACGTAATGACAAAGGAAACATGAACACAGAACCATAAAAAAAACGATTTTCTTACGTTTCGATTGAATATTTCACTCCCTGGAGAGTTTGTAAAATAAACTACGGTGTTATAAAATGATTTCCAGCCCTGAAAAAAGCCGTAAAAACACGTGAAAAAATACGATACTTTTTCACGTGTGTTTGATATCGCCAATCAGCTGCTCGCATGTCACTTGCCTTTCGCGCCACTCGGTCAGGTTGATGAATGAACGGCAAAGCCTTCACCGTTATTAATTCAAGGTCGTTTGTCGGATTGTGGCCGCTAAAAATCCGGAGAATTCGTATCACTTTTAGACAGTGACGATCAAACTTTCCTAGAAGGGAAAGAAAACCAAAATACGGAAAGAAAAACCGAACGTTACGTATTCAGTGGCTTTGGTAATAGCATTTCCTTCGGCTGAGAATGAAAATCAACAACTGGAAGATTTGCCACAAGCCGATTTTGGCTGTGTACCTGAAAGATTTCTTCTGTCGGTAACGACCAATTCAATAGCTGAGAATTGTGTATATTGAAAAATTAGGCCCATTGTTTGTATTTTGTGGTGATTCAAAGCAAGTTTTCATCTCGAGTGCGCCTACGCACTTTACGATTTCTACTCAGGGATTGTCGATCCTTTTATTTTCATTCATCAATAAAGTCGACTTTTCATGTCAGTAAAGGGCTATTGTGTGTATATGATAAACAAAATAATACATGATTGCTTGTAGATATGAAATTTCTCTTCTCGTGTTCAACTCGACATCCTACTCATTCGCTGCGCTCACTCGTGAGCTATCGAATTAAATAATAGGAGAAAAATTCTCACCCATGTATTATTCTCTATTTATTATATAGCAGGGTATTCCTGAGCTGAATCCGAGTGCTCTTATTGGTTGTCATAAACCATGTATTTTCATTCTTGAAAACCAGCAAATGCAAAATTTGAAACTAAAACCACAAAAAGGAAACCCGTAAATATCCTCATTCTTTGTAAAGAAAGTTATAAACAAGTCACCAAACGACTGATTACAATTATGGACGACGAAGAATAAAGCGATCATTCACAAGGCAAATTTTAGTATGATCTGGAAACCTCTGAAACAAGCAGTGGCGAAAGCCAGGAGGCTATTTACAATTTCATTAACAAACAGAAAGGCTTAGACGCAAGAAAGAAGTTGGTTAATGATATGAAAACTCTTGTTCACTACATAGATGCAAGTGAAATTATAGGCCAAAGAATTAAAAGCCTACTAACTGCATCCGAACTTGACCACCTTTCGTCAAAATTTTATCATGCACACCTGCAGGAAAAATGGAGAAATTTGCGAGCCAGAAACAACGACAACTTTGACCCGTAAAATCTCAGCTAATACTTGTACGGAACTAATGATACGTTGACTATTGAGTAATATACTAGAGTTTATTATTTCTTCGGTAGTTTATTTCTACATCTTTGAGCTCATAAAATTTCATCAAACTCTTGTTCGTAACAAATAATACGGTGAATTTTGTGTAATGACATCCATTGGATGTATAACTGTTTACTAAGGAAGCCAATATTCTTCAAATAAGCGAAATGATTCAGACAATATATTTTACTTAACATAACTGTAGATTTTACGTTATGGTCTCACTGTGCTGGATTCTGGATTCTGTTCACAGCTTTTTGTTAATCTGGGAATGCAGGGCGGTATGTACTAACTAGCAAGGCTGTCACTTGACTTTGGGGTTTGCACTTCTACATTGTAATTACCTCTTTATATCAAATAATAACAAGGGAAAACTTGCTTACATTTGAAGTGTTTGAAAGTTGGGTCCAATATTTTGTTATTAATAGCCAAAGAAAAACACTTGGAAGACTAGTTATAACTGGCAGACTAACATGACTAATAAAACAATAGGGAAGAACCGGGGTAGTTTAACAAATTTACGCAACCGAAAAATTTAGAGGACGGTATAGGAATAATCGTGAATTAGTGACGTACAGAAGCTGTGAACATCTCCTAATATGAAAATCAGCCGAGGTTAAGAGTGAAGTTCAAGTTGTTTCGTGGGCTGCCCCGTCCTCTACAATCTCAAAAGCGACACCACAAAGAAACCTGAGATGAGGAACACGTTATGGGCAACCACAGACATTGTTCCGGCAGTTGGTTCACCTTTGGAATAAAAGGGTCAAAATTGAAAAATGTTAAAATATCTAAAATGAAATTCAGTGACGGTTGACAGATTTCTCTGATATGTTACAATTTTTACAAGCGTAATTTCAATGATATTTGAGAGGTCTTTCAGCGATCTGCTCTGGTCAAGCCTCGAGCAGACAGGAATCTAGATCTAAGGATTGTCGTTGAAAGCTATTAGCAGACCGATTCTTTACCTACTGAACAAACATATTTTAACAAACCAGTTTTAAGACACAATTGGTTCAGTTACAAAGGCAGATGCACAGTATACCGTTTTAAGCTGGATTCGAGAGAACGAGACGGTATGTTTCCTGAGTTCTCTTCATGAGAGTATTTTTGTACAGTGATTGATGACTCCATCCATATGCGATATTCTTAGATAGGAATATCTTCTGCGGGCAATGATTAGGATATTTTTGCAAGAGGATTGTGTACTTAGAAGGTGTTTTAGACATTTTCTTCAAAATGTACCTATGCACTAGCCCAAAACTTGGTGTAACTATAAATACTCACCTTTTTCATCGATTTCAAAGCTTTGACACTGATCCTCATTAACGTTCTTAGAGCAGCCTGATGGCAGACAGCAGTAATAAACTCCAAGGTCAGCTTTACTCAAGCTTGTAATGGTCAAGGAATAGGGATCGTGAGGTCCCTTCTGGCTCACCTTGTAACGCTCATCCGTTGAAGAATCTTAAATATAAACATTTATAAAAAATTCGAGAATAGTACACTTAACCGGTTGCAAATAGCATTCATACACTTACTGGCTTTTGGCTGATTGTTAATGGATGGTGGCTATGTAAAAAGTTGACTGACTGGCTAACTGATGGACTTTTATGTCAGTTGATCTACCTGACGGACTTAGTAACCCAGGACTGATGAATGATCTGACGGACTGAATGACTAACCAACCAAAAAACTAACTGACTATCTGGCCGACTGACTGACAAACTGACTGACTGACTGGCGACTAGACTCTTTGGCTGGCTGGCTGACAGAATGGTTGATAGACAGCTGAACAAACAGTATGACTCGCTTACCGACTGATTGAATGCAGAGAAGGAACTAAACCACTTACTGATAGACAATGAAAGATTTTCGAATTATGTCCAATTCAAACTTACTTATGCAAGGCTTAACTGTTTCGTCTGTCTCACTCTTAAACTTCCATTCCACCTTTAGAGGGTATCCTCTGGCACCGCACTCTAAAGTTAAGTCGTCTCCCAACTTTTTTGCGACAGTTTTTTTATCTTTACTTTCAAACCACGGTGTGACTGAAATAATGATGATGATGATTAATATAGTTGTCATAAAAAATAACAATAATGATAATAATAATGCTGATGAAAATATGAATGACAAGGCTGATGGCAATACCGATACTACTAACTACTGCTACTGATACCAATGATATTACTACTAATTACAATAATCAGTGATAATGATTATATTACTGATGATAGGGATACTAACAATAACAATAATGATGATGATGAAAATAATAAAAATGCACTAGCCCAAACCTTGATGTCACTAAGAATACTTACTTTTTTGATCGATGTCAAAGCTTTGACACCGCTCCTCGTTAATGTTCTTAGAGCAGCCCGATAACAGACAGCAAAAATAAACTCCAAGGTCAGCTTTGCTCAAGCTCGTGATGGTCAAGGAAAAGGGATCGTGAGGTCCCTTCTGGCTTACCTTGTAACGCTTATCCATTGAAGAATCTAAAACATAAACATTTATAATGATTTGAGAAGAGTAAACTTAAACGGTTACAAATAGCATTGATACACTTACCGTCTTTTGGCTGATTGATAATGGATGGTAGCTATATAACAAGTTGACTGACTGGCTGGCTGATCATCAGCATAACAGTTGATCTACCTGACGGACTTAGTACCCAAGACTGATGAATGATCTTACGGACTGAATTACTAACCGACCGAATAACTAAATGACTAACTAAGTAACCAAGCTGGATGACGGACAAAATGCTGCCTTGCTGACAGAGAGAACGATAGAGTGACGTAATGGCAGACTGGCTGACTGACCGACTGACTGACTGACCGACTGACTGACTGACTTACTACCTGACTGGCTGACTGACTGACTTACTAATTTACTGGCTGACTGACTGATTGAACTGAATGGCTCACTGGCAACAAGACGATATGGAAGACTGACTGACAGAATGGTTGATAGACAGCTGAACAAACAATATGACTCGCTTACCGAATTATTGAATGCAGAGAAGGAACTAAACCACTGACTGACAGATAATAAAAGTTTTTTCGAATTATGTTCAATTCAAACTTACTTATACAAGTCTTAACTGTTTCGTCTGTCTCACTCTTAAACTTCCATTCCACCTTCAGAGGGTATCCTTTGGCACCGCACTCTAAGGTTAAGTCGTCTCCCAACTTCTTCGCGACAGTTTTGCCATCTTTACTTTCAAACCACGGTTTAACTGGAATAATTATAATAATGATCATAAAAATAACAATGATGATAATAATAATGCTGATGAAAATGATAATGCTAATGGCAATACCGATATTACTAACTACTGCCACTGATACCAACGATATGACAACTAATCACAATAATCAGTGATAACAATTATATTACTGATGAAAGTGATAATAACAATAATAATGATAATAAAAATGAAAATAATAACAACAAGAACAACAAGGAAGTTGATAAAGCCTTTTCCTTAGAGTTAAATTAACTTAAGTTGTCGTTTTTTGGGGGTTTGGAAGTTTAATGGGGATTCAGGCAAATGAAGCCACTGCACATTGCCCGGTAAAGGATGATGATGAAACAATGAAGAAATGTAAAATGGTTTCCGTGTTTACATAGCCTGATGTAAACACGCGGGAGGTTGGGAGAACACGAGATAAGCGTAGGAAACCACGAAGCGAAGCCGAGTGGTTTCCAGCTCATCGAGTGTTCTCCCAACCTCCCAAGTGTTTACATCAGGCTATGTAAACACGGAAACCATTTTACATTTCTTTTATAAAATAACTAATGAAAGAGGAACGAAAACCATGTTTACATACGCTCATGTAAAATGGTTTTATGGCCAATCAGAGCGCGTGTACTATTTGAATTATTTTATAAATCCATATGTAACATAACGAAGCACTTACTTGTGAGCGAGGTAGTTTCTTTTACTTTGCGAAGCACCCTGCCTTTAAGGAGGACTTTCAAGTTGCAAGAATACATCCCTCCATCTTTCATGCTAATATCTTTGAGAACCAACGAAGTGGATTCTGAAATTCCGTCCTCCACTAAAGTGTCAATCAGGTTTACACCGTCTTTGGACAACCACAAACTTTTCAGTGTTGTAGATTGGCTTCCTCTGAATGTTATGTTGCAAAAAATCGTCGCGGAAACAGAATGATCCACCGTCAGGTTAGAGACAGTCACTTTGGGTATGTCACTTTCTGAAAGAAAACGAAGAACGGAGTTCTTACTGCCTGAAAGCTGTTTAGAGCAAATCTCAACAGTCAATCAGCCGCCGAAGGACGATATCACAATGAGCCAATGAGCGCTAAATGTTTAAACAAGCGAGCTGTTTGCAGCTCGGGAACACGCAGGTGGCTAATTCTAGAGTGGTTTTAGTTTTTGCATCAGATTGTCTGCAAGGTTGGCATGAATTTTATAGACCAATCACAAAGCATAGTGAAGCAAAAAAATATAAGATCATTTTTGACTCTTGATGGAAAATTGTTCTAAACCCAACACAACAGGCGTCATATTTATAATTTATAACCTTTACATGGCGTATGATTAATTTCTCTGATTATCGTGATAGCGACCAACAGCTCTCTTTTATTTCTAAGCCCACACACCACTACATAGAGTGGGTGAAGTTATTATAACTCATTATTTCTAAGCTCACTCACCATTATATACAGAGGGTGAAGTTATTATAACTAATTATATCTAAGCCCACTCATCACTTCATAAAG